CCATCTCCCAGGTTCAAGCAATTCTTGTGCCTCAGCCTCCAAAGTAGCTGGGATTACAGACACGTGCCACCACACCTGGCTGATTTTTGTATTTTTAGTAGAGATGGAATTTCACCATGTTGGTCAGGCTGGTCTCAATCCCCTGACGTCAGGTCATCCACCAGCGTTGGCCTCCCAAAGTGCTGGGATTATAGGCAAAAGCCACTGCACCCGGCCCACCACTGAATAAATCTTTAGAAACTGAACACAACTGCATGATCAGGCCCGTTGATGAGTCAGAACATTGCCAACCACCCCAGAAGTCTCCTTCGTGATTCCTTCCAGCCTCTCCCCTCCCCCAACAAAAATGATCATTTCTAATATATACTCTTCTGTGTCTAACTTCTTTTGCCGAAATTGTTTGAGGAGTTCTCCATTTTGTAGTGAGTAAATTCATTTACGGTGCCAGATATTATTCTGTAGTTTTTTTCTAATTATTTTCAAGTCTACAGTGATGGGCGTTTGGGTTTTTTCTCATGTGGCAGTATTAGGAATACTAATTCTACCAACACTTTTGCTCTTATCTTTTAGTAAATGTGTTTCTCTTGGGTATGAGATAGTCGATGATCCTAACTCATCTGTGGGGCTAAAAGGTACTTTCCTGAGCAACCCTCCAGCAATCCTCCTACCTCTTTATCCTCCCAGGGGATGTAGTATGGGAAACTGGTCCCAACCTGCTGAGGAATTAAGAACCGGAACTTGTTGGGTGCTTCAGGGACAGCCTTGGCCCCACTGTATTGGAATGGCTGTTTTTCAGCGCATGTGCAGTAATCCTTGATGTCCCAGATCTAGACACAAAGTGTGGGTTAGTGGCCTCACATGCCTTGACCCAGACCCCAACTCACTCTGTGGGCTCCTCCCAGGCCCTTCCTCTTCATTTGTGGATGATGTAAGTTCTTACTTACATCTCTGAAATACTTCACCACTCAGGGCCAGAAAGGGTCTTACGGATCTTCTAGGCCAGACTCCAGGATCAGCAGCAGCCAGGGTGTGACTGGCTCACCCCTGCCTCACATCTTGCCACAAGGCACAAAATCAGCTCCTGAGCCAGCTGATCCTAGATTAGCCACATGACTGGGGGATGAGGGAGTTGTCGAAGACAACAACGGAGCCTGGAATTCGCCGGGGAAGGCTTCCTGGAGTGGCCTTTTGAACCAAGCCCCCACTCATGTCACTGGGCATAGCAGAGTAGGGGAGGACTCCTAAGGTAGCCCACCCTGCTCCCTGCATTGTTTTACAAATGGAACCAGTACCCAGAGGGAGTAGGAACCAGGCAAGGGCCATGTGCAGCAAAGAGGTGGCCGGACGCTTGGTTGGCACCAGCCCCTCAATCTCAGTGCTGGTTCTTCCTCACCTTGATGTATCCTTTACAGTCCCCCGTGACGAGGATCCAGTCATTTTTATCAGTGGCCATGGCACCCACGACAACGTCCCGAGGGTCTAGGTCCACAGGAAACTTCCCCAGCAGGCCCCCATTCCCGTGGATGGACCAGGCGTAGATGTAGCCGTCCGCGCAGCTGCTCAGCAGGGCAGCCGTGTGTGGCAGGCGAGGCCTGGTTTGCAGGAAGATTAACTGAGGGAGAGAGGAGGGTGTGGCTCAGCAGCGCTATGAGCCACTGCCACATGGTGTTGAGGGACCCCAGCAAGTCACCACACCCACCTGGTCCCCCAATTTCCCAGATGTCCAATGTGAGTGGTGATGGTGGTCCCACCCTTCCTACCCCGCTGGTGACAAGGAACATCTTACCTCTTTGAAAAAAAAGCCAAGAGCTAAACAATAGTTTCAAATGTTCCCAGTTTTGTTTGAAAAATCAAAACCATAAAAAAATTAAGATGCACACAACTTTTACAGTAGTAAAAGTTAACTGTCATTTTAAAGGATGTGTTTTAAATTTTGTCATAAGTGCATTCCAGATGATTAAATATTTTTCTAAAATGTGGTTCCTCATAGCTGCACAGGATTCACCAAAGTGATGCACCACAAAGGTATCCCATGTCAGAACTAGGGAAAAGCTGAGGCAGCCATTCCAGCCATTCCTCTGCCAGCCCTGGGACGGTGAGAGCAGGCAGGGTGAAGCTGAGTGAGCGCTCAGGACCGGGGCAGCACTGGAGACGGATGGCCCGCCCAGAGCACGGGGTCAACTGCATGGCCAGCATCTGGTGCTCACAGTGGGGAAAAGCACAGTGGGAATGGTGGCCCAAGGCAGAACAGAGCCGTGTGGCCGCAAGGGACAGGTAACCAACACTATTCCTCTTGCACTCAGCATCCAGCCCCCTCCAACACATTGGCCTGCTCATTTTGGAAAGAACTGCTGGACTAAAGTTACGCATTTCAGTCTCACTCAGCCCAGGAACCCCAGATAGTTTCTCAACCACAGGAGCTAACAGCCTCGCTGTGGGTCCCTTCAGAAGAAGCCACTGCAGCTAGTAACTGGCTAAACTTCATATAACTTGGAGCAATTTTCCACTGCCCGCCATCTGGTCTTTCCCAACCACAGAGATGGCCAGGGGCAAGTGCTTCATCTAAAGACTGTCAGGGGCTGGGCACAGTGGCTCAGGCCTATAATCCCAATACTTTGGGAGGCCAAGGCAGGAGGGTCACTTGAGGCCAGGAGTTCAAGACCAGCATGGACAACATGGTGAAACTCCATCTCAACTAAAAACACAAAATTAGCCAGGTGTGGTGGCTCATGCCTGTAATCCCAGGATTTTGGAAGTCCAAGGCAGGAGGATCGCTTAAGGTCAGGGGTTTGAAACCCTGTCTCCATTAAAAACAGAAAATTAGCCAGGTATGGTGCCACACGCCTGTAATCCCAGCTACTCAGGAGGTTGAGGCATGAGAATCACTTCAACCCAGAAGGCAGAGGTTGCAGTGAGCTGAGATTGCACCACTGCACTCCAGCCTGGGCAACAGAGTGAGGCTCCATCTCAAAAATAAATAAATAAGTAAAATTAAAGACTGTCAGGGACACAGCTGGTCCTGGATCTGCATCCTGGACTCGTTCCTAGTGCTCTTTCTGCCATGCCCCACAGTCTTCTGGGATGGCCAGAAAGAACGGGAAGGAAGACCCGACAGGTAAGACCCCCACCCACTCCCCATCAGGCATCCTTATCCCAGCCCACCCAAGCCCCTCTTCCACTAAGGATAGACTGAGATCAGAGGTGACCCAAGCACTCTGGACTCTCTCCAGGGCGCCACCCTAGAATGCTTCACTCTGCCCACCGGTGCCCAAGAGAGAAGGGACCTGCTACTCAAGGAGTGGTGCAGGTGGAGACAGTGCACCTTGAAGCCAAAGGTGAGGGTCAGCGTCCAGAGGGGGCCAGCCTTAGACAGTGACCAGCAGGCCCTTATAAACACACACACACACACACACACACACACACACACACGGCCCTACCAGCCAGTGCCTCAAATCTCACCAATGACATTCAGTCCTTCAATCGATACTTCAAAAACAAAAAATAATACACGCAAATCGTTAAGTTCATTGTCTGGCAGATATTGAGAGCTCAATAAATACTAGTTACCACTGAAACATAACACAACATAGCAAAAGCTTTCCAGGAGTATGTTTCTAATCCTAGAAACATGCAATTCTCTGACCAAAAATTCGATCAAGATTCATGATACAAGTCCTTACGACACGCAGATCACCAGGCCACATAAAAAGTCCAAGGAATTCCCAACAGTGGCGGCACAAAAGAGTGAAAAGAACTTGAACTTCAAAAACTAACAGACCTAGAATCAGGCCCTGGCTCTACCCTTTTCTGGCAGTAAGAATCTTGGGCAAGTCACTTGCCCTCATTGAGCCTGTTTCTTCAGCTATAAAATAGGAATGAAAACAACACATGTAGCCGGGCATGGTGGCTCACGCCTGTAATCCCAGCACTTTGGGAGGCCAAGGTGGGAGGACTGCTTGAGCCCAGGAGGTCAAGACCAGCCTGGGCAACACAGGGAGACTCTATTTCTAGAAACAATTTTTTTTAATCAGCCAGGCACAGTAGCACACACCTATGGTCCTAGCTATTAATACTCAGAAGGCTGAGATGGGAGGACTACTTCAGCCTGGGAAGTGGAGGCTGCAGTGAGCTGTGATTGCGCCACTGCACTCCAGCCTGGGCAAGAAAGGGAGCTGAGACCCTGTCTCAAAAAATAAAAAATAATGGGCCATGTGCAGTAGCTCATGCCTGTAATCCCAGCACTTTGGGAGGCTGAGGTCGGTGGATCGCAAGGTCAGGAGTTTGAGACCAGCCTGGCCAACATGGTGAAACCCCGTCTCTACTAAAGATACAAAAGATTAGCCAGGCATGGTGGTGGGTGCCTGTAATCCCAGGTACTCAGGAGGCTGAGGCAGGAGAATGGGTTCAATCCAGGAGACGGGGGTTGCAGTGAGCCAGGATTGTGCCATTGCACTCCAGCCTGGGCGACAAGGCAAGACTCCCTCTCAAAAAACAAAAAGAATAAGGTAACAAAAGTATAAGATGAATCTAAATCCCTCTCATGAAAGTATATCCATGCTATAGACTTACAGAAAAAAGCACATGGCAGGACATAGCTATTCTTTTATATTACTAGTCAAAAAAAAAGTACAAGGCTAAACCAACCTGCCAGCAGTGACTGCTGCTGTTGAGGGTGGGATGGAGTAGGGTGAGACACGGGGACTTTGCACATACTTCTTTTTTTTATTATAAACTAGTATATTTACTTTTAAAAGTTATTTAAGGTTTTTGTTTGTTTTTTTTTAAAAAGAGAGAGAGAAGGAAGAGGCCAGGTATGGTGGTTCACGTCTATAATCCCAACACTTTGGTAGGCTGAGACAGGAGGATCGCTTGAGCCCAGGAGTTCAAGACCAGGCTGGGCAGCATAGTGAGACTGCATCTCTACAAAAAAAAAAATAATAATAATACAAAAATAATTAGCTGGGCATGATAGTGCATGCCTATAGTCCCAGCTACTCACAGGCTGAAGTGGGAGGATCACTGGTGCCCAGGAGGTTGAGGCTGTAGTGAGCTGTGATCACAGCACTGCAATCTAGCCTAGGCAACAGTGAGACCCTGTCTCAAGAAACAAAAGGGGTGAGGAGGGGAGGAGAGATAAATATTCAGAACCTGGAGGAGAGAACGTGCAGCAACTCCTGGCTCTCCCTCCCAGCACTGCGAAACCCAGCTCTCAGAACACAGCCCCCTTGTTTTCAAGTTGCTGGTCCCTGAAGCTGGGTGATGGGGCAGGCCTGACACACCCTAACTCAACTATGATTTGAATTTTCAGGAGGGGGAATCAGTATCACGGTGAGGGGTGTCCAGGGTCAGAAAGGAGAAGGTACAGGAAGGAGAACAGAGATGAACTCACGCCCAACTCGTGTTCGGTACAAAACACCCTCCCAGTTAACAGGAGGACATTCTAACTGGAGATGCTGCCTCTCCTGCCTCACAATCCAGAGGAAACACTGCTACCCCCAGTCCAGAGGGGACGCTGCTCACTTCCCTAAGCACCCTGACTCCACCTCCTGGGGAAATGACATAGTTTAGCTGTGTCCCCATTGAAATCTCAACTTCAGCTGTACCTCCCAGAATTCCCCTGTGTTGTGGAAGGGACCCAGGGGGAGGTAACTGAATCATGGGGGCCTGTCTTTCCCCAGCAATTCTCGTGATAGTGAATAGGTCTCACAAGATCTGATGGGTTTATCAGGGGTTTCCGCTTTTGCTTCTAATTTTCTCTTGCTGCTGCCACATAGGAAGTGCCTTTCCCCTCCCGCCATGATTGTGAGGTCTCCCCAGCCATGTGGAAGTGTAAATCCAGTTAAGCCTCTTTCTTCCCAGTCCTGGGTATGTCTTTATCAGCTACGTGAAAACAGATTAATACAGGAGCTCTCTCCAGATGCCGCAGCTCTTACTTCAGAATCCCAAGTGGCTCCATCCTCTCCAGGACGCCTCCCGAGCCCCATCCTGACTGCCCACTCCCCGGCTCACATCCCACTCCCTGGCTGATCACCGCCAACCTTCTCCACCGAGGCACTGGATTGAAGCAACATATTCTTCTGCAAGTCTCCTTTTCTTGTTTCAGCCTCTTTGTAAAGGGACTGTTGGCTATGGATCTTGCTTGGCTGCCTGGATGAGCCAGTGGCACTGGAAGGTTTCTGGAAGGAAAGAAAGATGGGCACCCAAGTCCCCATGAGGGTGTCTCCCTTCCCCATGGGGGATCAGAGACCAGAGGAAGATGATAAAAGAGGTGGCACTCCCGAGCCCCCGCAGCAGGTACACTGCCCTGGGGAAAGCAGCTCAGTGGGTCCTGGAAACATCCACTTTAAGTTCCCAGAAATTTTGTTAGAGCAAAATTGGGGCAGAGACTTGAGTTTGCCTCTGGGGAAGACCCTTTTTCCTGGAAGAGACCATCCTGGTTAAATGAGGATAAAGGCCAGGCATGGTGATTCACACCTGGAATCCCAGCACTTTGGGAGGCCGAGGCAGATAATTTCAGGCCAGGAGTTCGAGACCAGCCTGGCCAACATGGAGAAACCCTGTCTCCAATAAAAATACAAAAAATTAGCATTAGGAGAAATACTTAATGTAGATGATGGGGTGATGGACGCAGCAAACCACCATGGCATGTGCACACCTATGTAACAAACCTGCATGCTCTGCATGTGTACCCTAGAACTTAAAGTATAATGAATAAATAAATAAAAATACAAAAAATTTAGCTGGGCACGGTTGTGCACACCTGTAATCCCAGCTACTAGGGAGGCTGAGGCAGGAGAATCTCTTGAACCTGGGAG